GATGAAGCCGCCATTGGAGTGTTAAACGGCCTTGGGTAGAACTCACTTCAAAAGCTAGCTATTAAGGTGAGGGGGCCCTCACGCTTATGTGCTTAATATTACTTTCGTATTCAGACGATATGGGACTTTGCTTCACACTCTCCCTTACGCCCAACATGCTCACTCGACAGCACTTGCAACATGCAAGCAAGGACACACACCCTACACATCCCTGAGCACTCAGGCTCTGATACCATGTTAAAGGGTCTTGGGTAGAACTCACCCCAAAAACTAGCTATTAAGGGAAAGGTGACCTCACGCTTATATGATTAATATTACTTTAATAATTAAGCGACGTGGGACTTCGCTTCACAGAGAGCACTTCCAACCTTGAAATCCAAGCCTTATCAAAACCCTAGACTCTCCTTTTTCCAAAACTTTTTGAACCCTAGAAATGCTTTTCTTCTTTCCTTTTATACTCCCTCAATAGAACAGGTCATTTTTAGAATCACGGCACGCATCCCTAGGTCACACCGACTAAGAGGGAGAAGGTCCTTAAATAGAGAAAAGGAAGTTGTGCACTAACAGGGAAATAGAGAAGTTCGCCATCCCTACCTACACAAGGGGGATTGCTCTATCCGTACATGCAGGAAATGTCCACCGCATGTGCGGAAGTGGCACTGCATGTACGGACAATGCGGAGGGCACATGCAGATTACTGCAATGGAAAATTAGCAGCTTAGCGAAGGGCCACACATGCGGGAATGATCCTCCACACGTGCAGTGAGTCAATTCCTTGACAAATTTCACTTTTCGACTGATTTTGCACCTTAGGCACGTCTAACTTAATTAAGATCAAATATTCATAACATGCATCAAGTTGTATTTATAGAAGGATTAAGAAATATCAATTAATGGCCTCAATGCAACACATTTCAGCCTCTATCATCAACTAAACCAACCCTAACAATTTGTAGATTAGTCTATTGGTGTCCATTTTGCTAACTTTGCGAAGCAAATTTGGTGTTATCATTTTGATTTGTATTTTTAATTGAATTTTGCCAAGGTTTATCAATTAGAGCATGAAATTTGGGCTACTACTAAAGGTGATAAGAGTATCCAAGAACTTTTTTTTATTTTTTTTTATTTTTATTATCGAATAGTGAAAGGATAACTAGGAAGACGAAAGAACATAGAAATTGTGTGCGCTCTGATACCAAGTTAAAAATAAAAGAAGAAATTTAAGAGGAAAGGAAGAAGATGAAATAGAGAAGAGGAGAAAAGAATGATGTTAGGAGGCACAAAACCTAATCAAATTAGTTTGTCCTCTCTAACTAGGTATATTTATATCAATAAGTGACAAGTAGAAAATTGCACAACTACCCTTCATCTACTCTTAACAGTTACTGAGGCTGAATATCATGCTATGGCTACTATTGCAGCATGTTGCCGAAATTGTTTGGATGTGTTAGTTGCTTGTGGACCTTGGCATTCCTTCTCTGCACCTACTCTCCTATGTATTGTGAAAATAAGAGTTCCATTCATATTGCTCATAACTCTATCTTCCATGGGCAAACAAAACATATTGAGATTGATTGCCATTTTGTGCGCCATCTTTAGCTTTGGACTTTGTTGTTGCCCTTTGTTTCCTCAACTATGCAGTGTGTTGGAATTAGAATCCCTTGATTTATGGATCACAGGTCACAAGGCTCGAATGATGTAATCTTTATTCTGTTTTCCTTTTTTATGTTCCTTTATGTAACTCCTTCAGCATATATATATATATACGTGGATATTCCTTAAGAGAGGTATGCCAAATTATACATAATTCTTCTTGGTATCATAGTCGACCGAACCCTAGCTCAACCCTTCCACCGCCTCCTCTCTTCCTTTTATGCTCAACCGACAACACCCTACATCACTGCTACCACTTCTGCCACTACCCAATCACCAGCAGTGCCTTGTCTCTGCCCCATGACTCCCTAGGGTAGTTCATGACTTATCTGTGACCCTTCTAGGGTAACCCACACCCCTTCTTTGATCCTCCAAAAAGGTTCACCCAACCCCTGTGACCAAGGTTTCAAAATGCAGCGTTACGTAACGGTTGCGGCGGTAGGCACCACGTGTTACTCCCCCTTTTGCGGTGTGATTGAGATTCGCAGGTGTGTCGGCCGTAACAGTGCTGTAACAGCCCATTACGCACAGTTACACAATGTTCTAAACAGTGTCCAAAAAAAAAAAAAGCTGAAATATATATATATATATATATTATACAGATTTTGTACATACCTTTATGGTTGATTGATCTACTTTGCAAGATAGTTGAGTTCAACGAAAAAGAGTGAAAAGGGAAGAAGGAAGAATCGATGTTGTTGAAGATGAAGAGGGAAGATGGAGGAGTGAGAAATAGAGAGAGAGAAAAGGGAAGATGAAGAACTGATGTTGTTGAAGATGACGAACTGATGTAGAAGATGCATCTTGCAAATCTACTAAGAAATCAAAAGGTTTTTTTTTTTTTTTAATCTAAGTTGTTGATGATGAATGTTGGAGTTCCATAGACACTTCTAGCAAATACAACTGCTTCTTGAAATCATTTTTTATTATTATTTTGATTGTGCGCACCAGCTGTTGTTTGCAAAAAATAATAATAACAATAATAAAATTATTATTATTGTTTCGTTACTATTAGATGCCTCGTCAAATCATTTTTTTTTTTATTGTTTTGTTTGTTTGTGCCAACTGTTGTTTGCAACAAAAAAAAAGAAAACAAAAATATTATTATTGTGTGGTCATTATCTATTTGGTAGTTCTTGATTAAAAATATATGTGTTAGCTCTTATTTTAAGTATGTTTATTCTTTTATTTTTGTAACAGTTTATCTTATAATAGTTAGTGATTATTTTATTTTTTTTTAAATATCTAAAAAAACATAAAACCTGTGATTATATATTAATATATATTTTATACATGTAAGTTTTTATTGATTAGTTTATTTTGTCTAGAAAATTTTGCCACAAGTGTAATATTGATTTATGACATATAAAGTTATTAATTATTGAAATTAAATGTAAACAAATCATTTTATAGTGATTTAAAAATATGAAATATATTGGATTATACTTAAAATTAACAAAAATTTATCAAAATTTATTTTAAAACCCAATAAATATGATTCTAAAAAGAAAAAAAAAAAAAAGAGTATCGGTAAGTTTTTTTCAAATTGTGCGAAAAATAAAAACATTCACGGTTCCGGTTACCGCAACCGTTACGCTACGACCTTTAAACCCCACACCCGCACGACCGCCACCGTTACGGCGACCGCTTTTCGGAACCTTGCTTGTGACACTCTAGGGTGGTTTTTCGTTCTACGCTTTTAACGTTGATGTATTTCTTCTCCTTTGAGTTGGTCACTTTTTTGCTGATATGGTAAGCGAACCTTGTGATATTTTTTATTTGTTTGGGGTTACCAGTATGTTCAGTAGTACTATTCTACGATACAACCTATTTTTCATTAATCCTTCTCCTGGTACCTTTTATCGCACAATATGGCTGATTCCACTAGGAAAGCTAAGTTAACAGCCAAAAGTGTGACTAATGTGCCAGATTTTTCTCTTTCTCAACATGCAGCCGCTCACTGTATTACTGAGTTAATTAAATAAAATGAACTTAATAAGGATTAAATAAAAGAATCCGGAAGCCAGTCATGTAAATAATATATATTTTATCACAAGCATGCTTAATAATGTAGATATGACATTATTGTCATATCTACATTTTAAGAGAGCACAGTGTAATTATGTAAAAACTGGGGGCTTGCATTTCTTCAAACCAAAGGGAGGTCAGTGTAATTTACCCTTTTTCATTGTTTTTCCCTCTTGTATAAATGCTTATTCTGCAGGCTGGCTTTGCAGCCATAACAGTAAGAGCTGCTTATTATGGTCTTCAACAAATTGGCTACCAATATGCCAATAGTGATTGACAATTGAAACCCAATGTTGAGTGCACCTCCATACCTGTAAGGGAAGTTTCTGATTTTTTTTTTTCATTGTAGATTAGTTGTTTTTAGAGCAACTCCAATGCAATTTCTATAGTAGTTTCTATCACTAAATTATAGCAACTTAATCCAAAAAAAAAAGCTCCAATGAGCATACCAAATAGGGTGCGAAAATATGACAATGCCAAACTTTGTGCCAATTTGACACAAGGTTTGCCAAAATGCTAAATTTTGGCTAAAGCTCCAGTCTCTCTCTCTTTCATAATGGGGTCCACAAATGGCAATTGGATTTGATTTTTTATGAAGAAAATATAAGAAATGGCTATTTTACACTTGGAGAAACATTGCTAAAAAGCTAAATTTGGCTTTGACCAACTGTTTTAACATTTTAGCATTGGAGATGCTCTCATGTTTCAGTCATTCCTAATGTATGGAAAATAAATATTTTCTGGTCTTATTATGTTTGTTTTACTTGGGATGGTCAAATTTTAGCATTTTTTGCATTTGTTGTGTAACTTTTGTAATATGCTTACTAGAAGGATACTTTTCTTTAATCATGGTGCTATTTATTTCACTATAAATTAACCTGTTTATATATATATATATATATATTTTTTTTGTCATTTTAGTATTTCATAACTTTCCTAATAAAGCTTCACTCCCATCACTAGCATGCCTAATCATGCAACGCACATGCAACAAGTGAACATTGAATTACACAATTATATATATCTGAAAGTTTTTAGCTTTCACAATTCAAATTTCATTCTTATATGGGCATGGATAATTGTGCAACACATGATGCCCTCACCACTAGTTTTAACTAAAACGAGGGTTTAGCTACCGTTCTGGAGTTGCCCTAATATACAGTAAGAGCACTTTATCCTTTTCTGCCATCCAATTTCCATCAAATTTCTCATTGTGTTGCTGGGATTTCAATTTTCTATCTCTAATTTGTATTATTTTCATGATAAGAAAAATAACAATAAGAACAATATTTCACTACATAGCAGTTTAGGGTTCAAACCTTTTCATGATCCCAGATGTTCAAGATGCCATCCTCTGCTGAACTTCCAAAGACGGATGACTTGTCTGGAGACCACTGAACACAAATGCACAGCTTCTATTTAAAAATTGCCAGCCAATAGTCAAATAAATCCTATTTTCTGCAGATGCATTACTTCAATACATAAAACAACAAGAGAGATGAATGTATGTAATCCTCCAACACCTGAACGCAAAGGACAGCAGAATTGTGACCATTAAATATATGAACAGGTGATCCACCTCCCCCAGAAGTGAGGTTTCGACGGTCAAACATACGAACAGAAGTATCCGCTGACCTGAGGGAACATCATGGTCAATTAACTATAAGAAAACTGGGCATACATCACTCAAGTGACATGGACAATCAAACATTCAATTGTAGATATAGAGAACCTTTACATAGCGGAGATACTAAAATTGTAAGCATATTATCTATGGTGTAATAGATAAATTAATTAAAGAAGAAAACATAGCATAATCTACTACCCAGTCAGAATGAGATTAACATCGTGCGAATTCCAATCAACACAGTGCAGGTCACCATCATGAGCTTTCTCAACCTGCAACAAGAACCACCACCAAAGTCCAACAGGATATCATCATAGAAAACAAAACAACAACAACAAATCAATGGCAGATACAATTTGTCATCAGTAAGGATGAAAAGGACCTGAATTAAGATAATAATAAAAAAAAAGCAAGTTGATAAAAAGTAATCAAAAACAAAGATATAGAGACACTATATGACTTTTATTTTTCTTTTTTCAAAATCTCATACAATGGTTTTGTCCAATATATGCGCCATAACTTCAATACCAGCGCCAAGTCACTCCAATGGCTGAGAACCAATCACGTGTATCACAACACAACAAACCAAACCAAACCAAGCCTTAAGTCCCATCTATCACAACACAACAACAGCCATAAAAAATATCAAGCAAATTAAGCCTAACTTATGAATATGTACAAGCATAAATACATATTTACCTTGGGGCGAGGGGGCAAAAGATAACACCCTAGAAGAAGGTGTCAAACAGTATCCTTTATAGCGTTATAAAAATATGGCCATGAACTACTATGTTACCAAGTGTTCCAAAAGCTTCAGTTGTTAAGAAACGGGCCCAACAACATATATCAAGCTATTCAATAGAACCATACTGAGCAAAGCTAGATATTAGCATGTTCGAGCTCGGTTAGGCAAAGTTTGAGTGAAAGTGTGTTTTCTTTTTCGTTTTTTTCGATAAGTAAAGTTTAGAATGGAAGTGAAACTCAAATGGAACCAGTAGACCACTATTCAAGCTTGACATGTAATTATTTACAGGATTGGATTATATACCTCTTAAACATAACTTAGAATCAGACTTGCCATGGCATCGTGTTCACAAACCGGGCTGAACCGAGAGCTCAGACCTGCTCAGGCTTGGGCTTTTAACAAGAGGCAAAAAATCAAAGCTTGAACTCCAATTATCAATTATTTACACAAGCTCAACAACTGCATTAGATAGGTAGAGCCCAAGCTGTTCGTGAACTTAAAACTCCCCTTCAAGCTTACAGTGCATTTAATTACCAATACTTCCATGCAATGCAGAATCCTAAACACAAATGTAAAGTATGTGATGTGACAAGTGCTGAAATATTAAATATTTAGGCTTTCGAAAATACATTCCATGAGTCCATAATCCTGTGTTATTTGATGTTTTTGTGTTGTTTAATGCATTTGCAGATTTTCCAAGTCTTTACACTCAAATGACATGAGTAGGATGAATTTTGCAAAGCTTACATAGATTTTTGGAAGAAAGGATTATGATTATCCATCAAATTTAAGAATAAGATCTCGAATTTTCGAGTTGGAAGTTATCTGCACAGCAGTTGGTATTTTGGGCATATCTCCTTCATACAACATCGAATTGAGATGAATCAAACAGCATTAGAAAGCTAACTCAAAGGACTATAAATCATTATCGCGCAATAGTTTCTCAATTCAACCATATTGGAGGTCAAAAATGAAGACACATTCAGGGAAAAGAATATGAAATTCAGCACACAGGACAGATTGCATACACCAATTTTGAAAAATCATACCTCATTCATTTCAAGTCCAAACCATGCAAATCTTGTGTCTAAATTGAAGCTCTAGAAGTCTAGTTTCATATGGAACTAGCCTCATGTCAAAATTCATAGTATGGAGAGAGATATGAACAAAAGATCAGACATAACTCAATGTTTTCAACAACTAGTCACTAAATTTGACTTCCCAAATCTTTCATATTCAACCATTGTTGGTTGTATTTATGAGCAAATTCCTAAATATTTGGGGAGGAAAGACTTTGTACATGTATTTGCTCTATAAATAGGGAGGTTGGGTTGATCAAAGGAAAGGAAGTAGAGGAGAGTGACAGAAAATCAAGTGTAGAGAGTTTTCTTCCAAGTTCTCTTTCAATAGAGTTATGACAATTTCCACAATCATGTGTAGCTAATCTTCTCATCCTTAGGGCTTAGATGAAGCCCTGCTCAAGAAACATTTGAGATTTTGTAATTAATTCTTGGGTTGTATTATTTTTGGATAATAATTGCATAACATTTAAGGGTTTTTCTAGATGTAATGTTTTATTTCACTTGTTGTGTTTTATTTCTGTGATTTCAAATGAATGGTTATGCAATAGTTTTATTTGCACATATATTGGAATCCTAAGATAGATCATGCTTAGGGAAGATGGACCATTCCTACTGCAATAGCTTTAGTGTAAGACAGACTGAACTAAAAGCAGATTGTCTATGCCTAGAGTTTCAGTATATGAATTTTCTAGATGATCATATTATGACTTGTAGTCATAATATAATATCACAATTATCCACTAATTAATCTCCCAAGAACGATTACAATTGCCTCATGTTATGCGAGTAGTAGTGGATTCGAACACCCTAAGGAATTTTCCTCAACCGAACTTCATCATTCTTTTATATTTACTCAATTTTCATCAAGTTCATCAATTCATCAATAATATATATAAAATGACAAGTGAAGATGCATGATAGTTCATTGCATTATTATATCCCAAGACCAAACAAATTTCAATGCTTTAGCATTAACTAACAAGCACAAACACTTCTAAAAAGGTGGTATGTTTGTGTCTTGCCCGTCTCGGACACTGATACTCATTGGACACTTTCACATCTCATGTTAGACACACGTCTAAATGTGCCATATTACTATTTTAAAAAGAAAAAAAATGTAGACCCAGACACACTTCAAACACTTGTGAGACCCACATGTCCATTAGCCGCTTTGCATCACCAATAGACTACTTAAGATTCAATTCAAAAGGTTAACACAAACACGTACAAATTATAAATTTGAACAAAATAATTAAGAGGATCCAATGAAAAAAGAGAAACAATACAAATTTTTACCTATTAATACCTCCACCCTCCTCCTTTATACGTTGGGAATTAATATTATATTACATTTTTTATTGTCTTTGAATAAAACATTCATACATAAGACTTTTATAATAAATATATAAACTATATACTTTGTGCATGGCCCCCCTGTGTCGTGTCCTGCATTTTTTAAAAATTGTTGTGTTAGCCTGTTTGTGTCGTATCCGTGTGTCAGCGTATTTGTCTCAGTGCTAAGGGCAGTAATGATTCGACGACTCCACTAGAAAGCAAAAGTACCAGTTACCAAGTAACAAATCAAAAGTTTCAATTTTCATTGGCCAACTAGTCCCCCCTAACAATAAACAAGAAGGAATGGAAACAGAAAGCAAAGAAAAAGAAAAGAAAGTATTCCTACGTACAATCACATCAAATTTCCTTACAAAATTCTTGACGTCGTTAAAAAGTATATAATATGTTTCTTGTAATATGTTTGGAAACCATTTAGAATACCACCAGGCTTCACCTAATGTTAGTAGGCATAAATTAATGGCATAAGACTTTTATTTCTGGTAGATTAGATAATTGGGAAGAAGGTAGACAAAATCAAAAGCAAAAGCTTCCCTTTAATCTTAATGAACCTTTCTGGCAATATTCATTTTTATTCAATATGATTAATTATTGTTTTCTAAAAAAATGTTACAGAAAATCAAAGTTTGCATCTATCATACATATCATGTATATATAGAATGTCCTATCATGAATTGCATAAGATACAATAGGCATAAGATGTTATTTATGAATAATGCGGTACATAACACTTTACCACTGAATGCGAATTGTATATATCATATCATGAATAGTAAGATACTGCCAACATATAAGTAACATACAAGTAGACTCACTAAGTCTCTATACATAACTGCAAGATGACATGTCATCATTAATTTCTAAATGAGCAAACTACAATGCATTTCAAGTTTCTCTTTGTTATATTTTATTCCCACCAGAATAGCTAAATTAAGGAAACTACATCTGTCATAGCTAATGGCTATTAAGAAATATTAGGAAGACAGGCAAAAAATCATAAGTAGGTGCTTTTGTCTGATGCCTGTCAGCTTATCAAACCTAGAGAATCATTCATATAGATAGCCATCATAGGCAGCTTACATAACTTCATATGAAAGTATTCTGAACTAAAACAAAAATTCTTCTTTTGTTTTTTCAAAGTAATAAGGAACAATTGTAGTAAGGTGCAGCCACAATGAGGCATCAGTCCCAGAGTAGAAGAAGGAAACTGAGAAAATTTTGCTATAACTTTCTTTTTTTTTTTATAACAACTTTGCTAAGCTAATATGAGAATATTTTCGAACTTGCTTGATATCAAAACAACTTAATATTAGATAAAGCTGTGCTGAAGTTTTCAAGTGAAATTAAACAGACAAGTGACATACTTGCAACCACCCAAAACTCACAAACAAACCAAACAAATGGACAAAGATTTTCCTGTCAGTCACCACATTAAGGCTTTAAAAATAACAGCAATCACTACGTAGCAACAAAAACGCTAAGGGTTGAGCAACACAAATTCCAAATTAAAGACAGACGTAACTGTAAATCTGTGTTTATGAATTAAACAATCCATGTATATTTGTGTCTTAATGTGTGTAAAGATAAGGATATAGACATTGTAATATACAAATACACATGGGCGTACTGTGAGAATCATGGTTATCAGAATCCCGATCCGGATCTTACGATCTATTTGAGTACAATCGATCCGGATCATGTAAAAAACTCCTTATAAGTAGGATCTTTCAATCCTAGTAGTGGGATCTTATAGGATCGTAGAATCCCGATCCGAATCCGATCCTATCCGATCCAATTTATAAGCCTTGTTTTGTATTGTATGACATATTTTGTTGTAAATTTTATGTTTGTTGTCTAAATACCAATTTATGTCGTCAAAATAAATAATAAAAATTAAATAGTATTGAATCAAATAGACTAAGAAAAACAAACTAGGAAACAAACATTCAAATATTGCGGTAATTTAAGAAAATTAAATAGTCGGAAAAACAAACTTAGCTTTAACGAAGTCTAAGAAGGGTAAGATGATTGCAACTTTATCCAAATTTCTAGAGAAATTATTTTTGTGACTCGAATCCGCTCCACTAGGGAT